TTCTACTCCCCCTCCCCACCTGAAAAGAACTCTGTTCCAACTGCCAGTTGCCTCACATTCTGTTACCTCAGTTCAAACTGGCAGACATTCCACTCCTTCACTCAGGAGTGGTCTGGGGCTCCTTCACAATACTAAATGTTGGTACCTCACCAAAATGTCTACGCCTTCCACCTATGGAACTGCTTCTGGACTCAAGGCGGCGGGAGCGATATTCCCTTATGTGTTTCAATCACCGGCCACCACTGAGCCAACGGATTGTCAACCAAATTTCTCCTGCATAGCCCGATCACAAAGATTCGTTGTGAAGCATGGGTTTCCAGCTAGTTCTAGATGTGGGAAGTGTTTTAGAACATTGAGAGTCACATGCCTACTTTAAAGAGATCCAACTGAATTTTATGTGTGAATAGCAATAAAAGAAATCTCCAAAATGTAAAATTATTCTTACCTCTAGCCCATATGAGGTTAAAACAAGTATTATTGCTGCTCAATGAAGGCTTAATAAATCTTTTTGTCTGAAATGTTTTGCCAACCAACAATTAATGCAAAGACTTGTGCATTAATCATGCGACAGGATAAATTTGCTGCACATGGGGTTTTTTTCCATATAAAAATGTGGAAGCTGTCTAAATGCTGTTAAACGTACAGCTGGTTCAACTTAATCTGTCTCCCACGTTAATTGCACAGTCAATTTCTCCAATGGGTTCCTCATCACAGGCCGTTGCTTGGAGGAGAATGGAGAAATGTGCTAATGAGAACAAACATTTTCATATATTAATGGAGATGAAAGGACAAAATTTGGAATGAGACTGCCATTCTGCATGTTCTTGGTAATATGCACATACCTTTCCTCCACATGAGACAAAAATGTCTCACGTGGAGGAAACTTTAATTTTTATTCTGAACTTCAGGTACAATGAGAAAAATATTCTATGTATGTATCAGAAAACTATTCCATGAAAGCTGTGTATTTTAACTTTTTTACATCCCAGCTTTTTCTGATATGATGTCAACAATCAAGCTATATTGTGTTCTGTGAATGTTGTTTATTTTGTACGTTCTGTATAAACTACTTCATTGGATTCTCTCTTATTCAAGCCTGGCAACATTTACAAGTTGTTATAAACAAATATCTACCACTCTACGGAAAAAAACTTAACAATGACCTACCAAATCCGTATTGTTGGTCACAGGCTCTCTCCTAAGTTAAAGCATATACAATAACGCACATGTAAAACCTGCTGGTAAGCTTGGTTGTAAAACTTTCCATCTCTCCTCCAAAGATTTATGTTATCTAACTACAATTTAATATATATATATATATATTGAGTAGAAAGATAAGCCTTAATAAATTGCAAACCAAATAAGGCCAATTGAAGACTCTTTCAAGTAGTAGTATTTATACAAGAAATCTAATGGATATCCAAGTGAAGAAAAAAATAATCTCTGAGTATGTAGGTAAACAATGTGCACTTCCCAAGGGATCTGTAAACTTCAATATTACCGCACAGTTCTATTTTTTTTAAACTTATTGAAACTGAATTAATGACACTACTGTAGGCCGCCTCACACGAGCTATCTCAGGTATTTCCAAAACACAGACAAGGACTTAATGCAGTTCACCTTTTATTTAGCTAACACTCATATTAAATAAATAAAATGTGCTTTAGTGGCAGTGCTAGAAAAGACAAGACGTAGAAGTAGATACAATTCAGAATAAAGCCTTTTGTTTGCATTGTAACATATTGGTAGAAGTTTTTATTCTTCTAGAGCTTAGGTAGGGGGAATCAATAAGCAACAATATTGATCATGTTCTTTCACTACCTTATTTTATCTATCATATTTTTTTAAAAGAAAACAGTTCAAGATTCTTTCGATTCAAGAGAGCTGCTTTGTTAATCTTAATCTTTCTCCCTATCCCCACAAAACAGCTCTTAATCCACATTATTTTTGGTACTTGAAAAATCCATTTTTCCTACTATTTAAAAAGATTCCTCAAGTATTTGAGAATTAAATGCAGGTACTTGACGCCCTACTGAAATCCTGCATGAAAACATTGCCCGCTTGAAACTCAGAGTTACCTCCATTGGAGGCATAGTAGTTGTTCCACTTACCTATTATTTTCTGCAGCAAAGGTGATAGCTCTGGTTCATCGCAAATAGCTTGGATAAAGGCTTCCTTCACTTGACTTTCGGCCTCATTTAATTCTTTCCCAGTTTTGACTTCTCCCACTATGGAGTAAATATACACCAATAATAGAAGGAACTCTTGGGGAGTGTAATCATCTGCTGTTCTGTTCCTGGAAGGTTTGATAATAGGTAGCAGTTGCTTCAGTGCATTAAATAATGTTGACTCACCAATATTCTGAAAACAAAACAACAACAACAACAAATTGTCAGAGTGTTTGCAGCGTGACTACTATTGTGAGACAATAGTAGGAGCAAAACACAGCACACACAGAGGTATTGTCTTTTAACAGTGGTTTATATGCAAGACAAGCTATATACATACATATACGTGGTAGGCAAATACCTGGCAAGCAATCAGTCTTCATTATTCTGCATTGAGTACTACAATGGAGACAGAACACAAGGAGAGAGAGCTATGCCCTCTCATGGCCTCATATATAGAGTGCTTCTTAAACTGGTAAAACCCTGTGGGATCCATCCTCAGTCTTAAAACGGCAATAACCATGCTGATTCATCCTCATTGCATCAGCCTTACAACAGCTGGTAAGCTATTAAATCTCAATACCTTAACACAAATCCTTAATTTTACACTTTGAAAGTCAAGGGAATCATGGGACAAAAGGCCTGTAACATTTTAAACCGATTTTAGGAAGTGCAAATTCAAATGTTGCTATTACAAACTTGATTCCCTTTATAGTAAAGCTTTTTAATCTGTGTTCCCTTAGGTTTTGGACTACAATTGTGATGACCCCGGGTGGGATACAAAAACAACAAAGTCACAAAAACAGGTGAAGTCCCTTTAATTCCTTCAACTTGGCTTCAAAGGTCCAATTATCGTAGACTGGAGGAAAAAAAATTCCCCCACAAACAGTTGCGAAAAGGAAGAAATTCCATGTAAGCTCAAAATACATATAAAAGAAAAAACAACACAAACCACATTGAAGCAATTAAGGAGACAAGGCAGGATAAGGGCTTGAAGATGTCCACAGATATCAAAATACACACACTGGGAAGGACACCAGAACTCAGATAAGAACAGACAGACTAGAAATATTTTCACACTTTGCTTCCAGCACTGGGCCATGCGCAGTTTGTCCTTTTAAACAGTCCTCACAGCTGCAGCCCATGAAGGGAATCAAGGCCCTTCCCTCCCCCGTAGACTACGCCATTCATGTTGCTCCCTTATCCGCTCCTCCCTGCATGCCCTAGGATGAAGAGGGGATGGGCCTGGGTCTTCCTCTGAATGCCCAGCAGGCCTGTGCCTTTCCCCAGTTTCCTCCACAACCTCCGGAGCTACACTCCCACTCCCTGTCAGCTGTTCCTCCTCTCCCTCAGAGTCAGATTCTAACAGGGGTGTGACAACAATCATCCCTAGCCAGGAGGATCAATGATTCAAGTTTTATAAAGGTAGTTCTTGAATGACGACCACAAGTGAGCCCAAAATTTATGTTGCTAAGTGAGAAATCCGTTGTGAGTTTTGCAATCTTTCTTGCCACAGTTGCTAGGTGAATCGCCGTGGTTGTTAAATTAGTAACACGGTTGTTAAATGAATCTGGCTTCCCTCATTGACTTTGCTTGTTGGAAGGTCACAAAAGATGATCACACGATCCTGGGACACTGCAACCATCATAAATACGAGTCAGTTGTCAAGCATCCGGATGTAAATCATGTGAGTGACCATGGGGATGTTGCCATGGTCTTAAATGTGAAAAATGGTCCTAGGTCACTTTTTTCAATACTGTCATAACTTTGAATGATCATTAAGCAAACTGCTGTACGTCGAGGACTGCCTGCAGTTGTTGCCTGGGAACATAAACATTGTAGACAGCCTCCCAACCCATTTCATCCTGACACATTTCCCCAGCAAAATGATTTCACAGAGGAAAAAGACGAGGATGGAGTGCGCTATTTTATAATCACTGCTGCCAAATCCATTCATAAAATAACATTACAATCCAGTCTCCTCGCTATTTCAAGGATAGCGCTTAACTATAACATGATACGAGATCTCTTCCTGAAGTTTCATGGCTTGCTGGAGACTGGATATTACAATAATTGACTTATGTTTTCCATATGGAAGGAACAAAACTGGACTGTTAAGTCGGAGGTGGGGGGTCTGACTTGTTTAAAATTGTGATGACTTTTTCATGGTTGCATCTAGAAAACACGTACATTTGTAAGAGAAAATATGCTTTAAAAATGCCCTCTCTTTTCCTTGTATATCTTTCTATGTCTTTGGATTTACTTATAAGAAGTAATATCACTAAAGGTAAAGGTTCCCCTCGCGCATACGTGCTAGTTGTTTCCAGCTCTAGGGGGCAGTGCTCATCTCCGTTACAAAGCCGAAGAGCCAGCGCTGTGCAAAGACGTCTCTGTGGTCATGTGGCCGGCATGACTAAATGCCAAAGGCGCACAGAATGCTGTTACCTTCCCACCAAAGGGGTCCCTATTTTTCTACTTGCATGTTTACATGCTTTCGAACTGCTAGGTTAGCAGAAGCTGGGACGAGTAGCGGGAGCTCACTCCGTTACGCGGTGCTAGGGATTGGAACCACCGAACTGCCGATCTTTCTGATCGACAAGCTCAGTGCCTTAGCCACTGAGCCACAGCTCATATCACTTATATACTGCTTAAATCACTACCACTCCCTTAATATCACTACCACCCCCTTAACATCACTACCACCCCCTTAAAAGTCCAGCTTTTCTGTCAAGTCACATAATTAAAGATACATTTATCAGAGTTGTAATCTGATTCTGTCCTTTCCCTCTGACTTGTTGGCAATCTGGATACAATGGGGGGAAAAATCAGTCCAATTGTTGAGTAGTTCTTCCCCAAATTGGCACTTCCTGTATATATTAGACGGTGGTTGTGCTTGTATTCTCAGCTGTAGAGTACAATTCTATTCTGGAATGTCAAGTTGAAGATCTCCACTGAATGCAACCTCACACAGGGATATTTTGGGAAGAAACTCACAGGCGCCCTTTGTTAAATTTGGGAGGGATTGTCAGAGCATTAAAAGAATTAATTCCATAAAATTTAATGTTGACATAACAGAGGGTAGTAAGATAATATAGAAAGGAGCACCAGCAGGGGTGGGATTCAACCGGTGTTACTACCAGTTCAGTGACTATGTTTTGTGTGCACATGCGCGCTTTGCACGCACACATGCCTAACGCACGCTGTGCGCGCATGTAAAAAACCTTAAGCTGTGCCACCCGGACAGCTGAAAAGCACAGCGCGCAGGTATGCAGCGTTTGAAAATCCTCTTCTTTCCTGCTTTTTCAACCTCAGCTGTGCCGCACAAAGCAGCTGAGGTTGAAAAGGGGGGAAATAAAGGACAGGTAAGAGCCTAGGCGGGCAGGTGGACCAAACAGTGGCAAACACAAAACCGGTTCTGTGTCTGCTGCTCTTCAGAGCCACCGGTTCTATAGAACCAGGCAGAACTGGTAGCATCCCACCCGAGCACCAGAAAGTACAGGCAGTCAAGACTTATGACCACAATTGAGCCCAAAATTTCAATTGCTAGGTGAGACATTTGTTAGGTGAATTTTGTCCCGTTTTACTACCTTTCTTGCCACCGTTGTTAAGTGAATCAAGTGTAGTTATTAAGTTAGCAATAAAGTTGTTAACTGAATCCAGCTTCCCCACTGGCTTTGCTTATCCGGAAGGTTGCAAAAGATAATCATATGAACTGGGGACACACGACAATGGAAATCAATATGAGCCAGTTGCTAAGCATCTGGATTTTGATCATGTAACCATGGGGATATTGCAATGGTCATTAAGTGTGAAAAACAGTCCTAAGTCGCTTTTTTTCAGTGTTGTAACTTTGGATGGTCACTAAACAAACTGCTATAAGTTGAGGACTACCAGGGGCCTAGCTGCATCTGTTAGAATGAAAGAACTTAAGGCAGATGTAACATGGCTTGCAGTTTGATTAAACATAGGGACCAGTATTCTACCGGTTCAGCCTGGTTCTGCCGAGCCGGTAGCGCTGATGAGCAGTGGAGCGAACAGGATCTCTCCAACACTCTGCTGTTGGGCCCGCCCAGGCTGCCATACTCACCTTTGTCCTCTGAATTTGAAGTGCAGCTGCTTTGCGTGGCACAACAGATTGGTGTGTGGCAGCTGCTGAAGCGACAGGGAGAGTGCAAGATCGCAGGAGGTGAGTCAGCAAGCCTCTGCGCCTATACAAAGTGCGTGTTTGGCTGTTGTGGTTAGCCGGCAGCAGGTGCAGATGGCTGAGGAGAGTGAGGATTCAGATGAGGGGCCAGGACCATTAGGGAGTGGACTGCTGCCTTCAGAGATTGTGGGGGCTGGCAGCAGTGATGAGGAGGTTCCCGAGGAGCCTGTGCCAACTGCGCATGCGTGCAGGATTGCTCGCAGGAAAGAGCAGCTGCAACAGCACGGGCGACTCGGGAGTAAGGCTGCAAGGTAATGGCCCCTCCTTTAGGAAGATAAAAGCCAGCTGTGAAGTGAATGTTCTTTGCAGGAAGCAACGACATTTTGAAACTCAGTCTCATGGACATTACAGTATCTTAAGTTGGTATTTGAAGACTCTTGTGTTGTGAAATATTTCTTATCTGTGATTTTTGGCAGTCTTGCACTGTTTTGGCAAGGTTTATGTTTATCAAAGTTAATGAGTTTGCAGCAGCCTTTTAACCGAGGATTCGTAACACTCATTAAAAGGTTTCTTTTCCCTTTGGTTATTGTTTGTCTTATTGGAAAAGGGTTTGGGCCAGAACATTGGCGTGCACGCACAAAGAACGCCCACCAAGCCACACCCACCAAACCGGTGGTAAAAATATTTGAACCACACCACCGATAGGGACATTAGGCACAGGAAGGGGAGAAAGAGCACCAAACTTGTGGGGCACCTGAAAAGGGCAGACATATTGCTACTTGTAGGTGTTATTCACCCTTGTCTCCCTCACATTGGTTCCTGAGGTACAGCAGAAAAGAGGGGGGGAAAAACAGGATGAATTTAATTTGTTCCCACTGGCTCTCGGGAGTAAAGAATTCTTTGTTTAACACAGAGGCAGCACACACAGGCCCAGGCTATGTGATATCGAGAGGGTGCCAGGCAGGAGAAGACTGGGAATGAAAGCCAGTTGTTTCATTAGTGTGGCAGTTAGTGTGTAGATCAGGTTATTTTCAATTTCCGGTTTCTTT